CGTTAACGGAGAAGTTGACGGCATTTTACAGCATCCTCGTCCGTGAACACGTTGATGTTGTTGTCTTTCAGCTCGTCCTTGAGATAGCTTACGAAGCCATACCGACAGTTTTTGCCGCGGAAGTTGATGAACACTTGCTCCTGCAGAGCCATTGAAGACTTTTTTTTTTTTTAATTTAAGGATTCCGGTTTTCAGAGACAAGAAGTGATATGTTTTCTCGTAAATATGTTGTAGGACCGTTAAATTCACACATTTAATTTCTTCAAGTGTGGAAAAGACAATTTATACAGTACAATGATTATTATGTAAATAAGGAGAGACGGTCAATGCTTCGCTTTGTGAAAATTATTGAATGTTCGGTAGATTAACCATGTGAGACGGTCGTGGAAAAAAAATATATATAAATCTAGAGACTGAGACTTAAGAGAATGGATGCGACGTTATAATAATAATAATAATAATTTGATGCCAACTTGTGTTTTTGTTTTGTTCCTCGTCAACTCCGTATGGTCAACGACACATGCCTACTAGAATAGTAAGCTATTGCCTGCGGTTACATACAACATACTGCATATTGTCATAATAATTAAAATATTTTAATTTCAATGATGATTTTCCAGGTGTAAACTCAAAATATTTTAATCTGTATATGATATTAACTATTGGATAGGTACTGTTGTGTTAATTAATCGATTATGATTATCTTATATTATATGTATATATATATATATAACTGGCAGTTGAATAATATATATATATATATATATAGAGGTCTGTATCTATGTTTGTATGTATTTTATTGCATCCGAGAGGCATACTAGATTGATTATACATAGATCGCCTGGCTATTTGAATTCTTCGTTTTTTTTAGATTTCCGTGTAAATGCATTGACTTTCTAATCTAGGGCATATTTTATATCCTACTAAGAAATGATCAAAATTTCGATTTTTTTTTAACGAAATATTAGCTATTCATTTTGTTATATCTAAATGATATTTATATTTTATATTTGATTAAATGTGTAATTAAGGTGTTTTGGATATTGATATCTCCACTCAAATAATAACACCGAATGCCATTTTTTTCTTTTATGTTGAGTCGTTTGTATTTTCGCAGTCAATGATATTAGCAAGTACTAACCCTAAATTTGGCTTTCTACACCAAACTGCACATGAGACCACAGTGAGTGTGAGTCTATGCATATATATGAGTCTATCTATATCTATATATATGTGTGTATATGCGTATATATCACCTTTCGTTGACTGTTTGTCTCTCATGATGCGGGGTCAGGGTTGAACCTCACAGATTCTCTCCAAACAAGCTCCTTGAGTTCTTCTTCAGACAAAAACTGGTTTTCGAAACCGAAAGTCAGAGGCTGAGAGCAGACAGGTTCGTCCGTGTCGTCATGGAGGTGGGAGATGTACGGATGGCAAAGTGCTTCTTGAACTGCAGCAAAAAAAAAACCCCAACAATCACCATCTTGAGTGTTCATCATCGGAGTTAACAAAGATCTCAAACTTAAACCGGTCTTCACTCTCACCAGTGATGCGTTTTCTCGGATCAAACACGAGCATTTTCTCCAGAAGATCGACCGCTTCAGGTTTCATATTTGGAAATTTATCCGAAAAGTTCTGTCTCGGCCGCCGGTTTAGGCCTAGAGCATGTCTCCTGGCTCTCTCGCATCTTAGGAAACCAGTGCTCTCTTCATCTGGCGATCCTATCAACTTTTTCCAACATAACCCGAGAATTCCGTCACGATATGAATTTACCGAATGTAAGTGAACGCCGGAAAAAAAAATCATACCTCGAAGATAATAGGAAGCTGATCGGAGTAATCTTTCGCGGGGAACAGAGGAGCCCTTGTCACCATTTCAGCAAATATGCAACCCACGGACCAGACATCGATCGCCGTTGTGAAATCGGAAAAGCTAAGCATCAGCTCCGGTGCTCGGTACCATTGCGTCACAACAAACTCCGACATGAACTCTGTCTCGGACACTGTCCTCGCCAATCCAAAGTCTGCAATTTTCAGGAGGCAGTCCGAGTTCACGAGCAGATTGCTCGGTTTAAGGTCAAGGTGCAAGATGTCTCCCGAATGGATGTACTTCAGTCCCCGTAAAATCTGATACAATAAGTACTGCAAAAACAGAACAGAGCCACCGCGTCAATCCCATCGAGACCGCCGTCCATCAACTCGTAAACTACAGAAAGCGAAAGGATTCTTCGGCCGCAAAACCTGAAAATGGTTTTCGGTCAGAGGGTGTTTGGAGTGAATAATCCTACTTAGATCGACATCCATCCGCTCGTAAACTATGTAGACATCCTCGAACGCCTCTTTGTGACGTGGTCGGACAACGTCTTTGATGGCGATGACCTGTGGAGATTATATGAACATTAGAAGGGTTTGAATTTCGGAGTAAAGAGACGAAAGGAGGAGCCTTTTACGTTTTCATGGTCCATATGAACAAGAAGCTTGATCTCTCTCAAGGTCTTCTTGGCATCTATCCTGTTGTTGAATGCGTTGCTTATCTTCTTAATTGCAACTTTCTCTTTGGTCTCTGAATTAACTGCAGAACTGAGGAACAAAACAAAGTAATTTCCATCAACTGTTCTGGTAATGAAACATCATATATATATATATATATATAATATATATATATATATATATATATATATATGATGCAAACCAAACTGATAAACTGACGAGTGATTGCTCAAATTCGAAGAGTTTCGATGAAGAAAAGGATTCAAATTTCCCCAAGAAAACCCAGATTCATTTTCAAGAAGACCAAAGGTCTCAGATTTGCAAAAGAACCCTAAGGACTGTAACAAAACCGTCGTAAAAAAACATGGGACGCCATTTTCAGAGATCAATGCTGAAGAGATTCAGAGAGTGTATTACACAGAAGCTAAGTACAAAACCAGAACTTTGATTCAGAATCATTAGAAATTTCAAGAAATTTCAAGAACCAACATCAGGAATTTCAAGAAATGATCCAAAAAAGAAGAGACGGATACACACGCAAAGAAAGAGAGACGGTACCAGACAAAGCCATAAGCGCCTCTTCCGAGGTGTCGAAGAGGAGCAGAATACTTGCTCGGGAGCACGAAGACGGTTCCGTTAATAGAGTGCTTATAATAGCTTCCGCCATTACCGATCTGTCCTCTGCCACTACTGCTTTCGCCTTCTTCAGTGGTGGCCGAAGCACCACCAACAGATTCACTTTCAGTGGCCATTCGAACCCAGAAAGACCCAAGATACCAAATCAGCAATGGAAGAGAACCCAGATTCTGTTTCCAGGACTCGGAGCAAAATGACTCTTGTTTCTTTTCTTCCAATTTCTTGGGAGCTCCTCGAGGTCTCAAATCTTTATATGCGCGGTTATTCGCCACGTGTCATTCTCCCACCAAGGTTCTGCAAAACCCCGCTCTTGTCCAAGTGGTTATTATAACGTGGCTTTTAAAACGCAAAGGGATGAGACATTTTCTACCTTTTCTTATGATAAATTAATTTTATCCACATAATATATTTGAATCTGTCAGTTACTTTTATGCACAAACTCAGTAATTAGCTGTTACAGTAATTGATTTTATGATAATTTTGGTACTACGTGTTACAAGCAAGCTTCTAACTGAACATTTCTTGTGTTACAAGTAAGCTTCTCACTCAACGTTTCTTGTGTCACAAGTAAGCTTCTCGAAAGCCTTTATAACAGACGAAGAACGTAGCGCTAAAATGAATGGACATGGAAAGAAATATACGCACGGTCCGGGAGAAGAATGTGTGTATCTATATGTATATGTGTATATAATGTACATGTATATCACCTTCGGTTGATGATTGTTTTCTCAAGAAATGGGCTCAGGATAGAACTTCAACGTCTCTCTCCAGACAAGCTCCTTGATTTCCTCTTCCGACAAAGACTGGTTTTCGAAATCGAAACTGATGGGCTCCGAGCACACAGGTTCGTACAGATCGTCGTGAAGGTGGGACAAGTACGGGTGACAAAGTGCTTCTTGAACTGCGAAAACTCATCACAACCATCTGAGTTCGTCATCAGAGTTTAAAAGATCTCAAACTTGATCGGTCTGTACTCTACCTGTGATGCGTTTTCTCGGATCAAACACGAGCATTTTCTCCAGCAGATCGACTCCGTTAGGGCTCATATCGGGAAATTGGTCCGTAAAGTTCTGCCTTGGCAGCGGGGATAGATCTTGAACACGTTTTATCGCGTCCTCGCTCCTGAGGAAATCCATGCTCGCTTCGTCTGGGGACCCTATCAACTTTTTCGACACAAAACCCGTGAAATGCGGGATTCTTAGGCAGATCCGAAATGTAAACCCGACGCGGATTTTTATGGAACAGATTACGTACCTCCAAGATAATTCGAAGCAGATCGGAGGATTTTTTGGGATGAAACAGAGGAGCCCTTTTCACCATTTCAGCAAATATACAACCGACAGACCAGACATCGATTGCAGCCGTGAATTCGGATAAACCGAGGATCAGTTCCGGTGCTCTGTATGCTGGTGTTACAACAACCTCTGAATCCTCCATGAACTCTGTTCCAGATATTGTCCTCGCAAATCCAAAGTCCGCGATCTTCAGATCGCATTTTTCGTTAACGAGCAGATTTTTCGGCTTAAGGTCAAGATGCAGGACGTTTCCCGAATGAATGTACTTCAGCCCCCGTAAAATCTGATACAGGAAGCACTGCGAAAAACGAACAGAGGGAAGAAGGAAAGGCCATTGTTAATCTATGAAACATAAGCAGAGTGTTGAAATGAACGGGAAACGCGGGTGGATTGTTTGTACTAAACCCGGTAATGGTCATCCTTCAAAGGGGTGTCGGACTTTAGAACATGATGAAGATCCTCAGGCATAAACTCGTAGACTATGTAGACAGCGTCGAATTTCTCTTTCTGATATGGCCGGATAACGTCTTTTATGGAAATCACCTGCAGAGATGAACATGAACTCGGTTCGAAATCATTGTATATTTACATCGTTAGAACGGATTCTCGGTAACGAGAAGGGGGAGCCCGAGCTTACGTCTTTGTGGTCCATATGAAGAAGAAGCTTAATCTCTCTTAAAGCCATCTTCGCTGCTACTCTATTGATGAAAGGCTTACTTATCTTCTTGATTGCAACCTCCTCTTTGGTCTCTGAGTTAACTGCAGAACTGGAAAGTTAAGTAAAATTCCGTCAAATATCAAACAAGTCCAAGCAAAACGATAATCATTCCTTCGAATCGGAACATTCTCAAGTTCAAGCAAAATGAATTTCTCAAATTCAGAGAAATTCAACGAAGGACTCGGATTTCCAAAGAAACCCAGATACATTTTCAAGAACGCTTCTTTTTTTTTCCCTGGTGGATTCAATGAAGAACAAGGACTCAAACCCGCTTAGAACATAACGCAATTTAGAAATTTCACGAGAAAAAGTTCAGAACTTTGATTTCCGAATACCGAGAAAGAGAACAAAGCTCTGGAATTTCGAGAAACCCTCCGAGCCAAAACGGCGGAAACTCACAAAAAGGGCAATTGTTAGATCATTTGAGCGAATAATGATAAGAAAAAGAGCAGTACCATACATAGCCGTAGGTGCCATTTCCGATGGGCCGAACGGGAGATGCATACTTGAGAGGGAGCTCGAACCAGATCCCACTAACAAGATGCAGAGCATAGCCATGGCCACGACCAATCTCTCCCCTGCTACTGCTTTCTCCTTCTTCAGTTTCCCTTTCAGTTGACATTTTTCCGACCGAAACACAAGAACCCAGAACGGCGACTCGAAGAATGGAAGATAATTGATGGATATTTTCAAGAAGCAGAGCTTTGGAGATTTCAAGGACTCGGAGCGAAAACGATCCCTGTTTCTTTTCTCCGTTTTCTTGGGAGCTCTTCTTGGTTTCAAAAACTTGTACACGCGGTATCGTCCGCCACGTGTCATATTACTTGAATGTTTTTTTATAATATGGAGATTTGAAAAATAAATGCGAATTTGCTCATACTAATTAGTAATTACATTAAGCTTATCTCATTGGTAAATAAATGCGACGATTGCCGCCGGTTGGTTAAACCGGGTTGGTAACGGACAGGCAGGTCCTCCGGTTTCCCGTGAATCTGTTAAACCGATCGGTTTGCTTTGATTCAACAATATCGGATAATCCCTATACAATAGTCTTGATGGATTTCACCCCAAGAAAAAACATAAACTTAATTCTGATTGATAATCTCATTCCATACAATTTTGGTTAGCACCGGTTTGGCCTTAGACCAAACAAAACCAAAAACTCGGAACTACATACACATCTTACACAAGACTTTTTCACACTCTCTCCTACATTATACACACATATATATACGTATCTTACAAAACAATAACAATTTCAGCTCAAGATTCAGCTATAGCAAAAGAACAAAGAATCTCAAATCGGTTTATTGGTTTAAGTTAACTTAAATGAAAGGTTCAAGTGTGGGCTCGGACGAGAGGAGAGGGAGGAACTGGCGAATGAGGGGAGAAGAAGCCATCATCGACCCGTCTCGAACCACTGAAGCTCAGCCTCAGACTGGTCTGCCAGCACAGTTTCTTCTTCTTCGCCGCCGTATTCGTCGCAGTCGTATTATTCTTCTTCGTATTCTCCTTCTCACGTAGCCTCATGAACGTCCGAATCCTCTCCAAGGCGATCTCCATCGTCTCATGGCTCATATTCGCAAAGCAAACCCTGAACCACCCTGGTTCGGTGCAATGGAACGAGCCGCCAGGCGAAACGTTTAGCTTCACCTTGTGTACGATCACTCGCCACAGCTCGGTTTCCGCCTCGAACGTCGACGATTCCAGAAGATTCCTTAGATCCATCCACAGGAACAAACCTGCATTGCCCTTCAAACAGCCGATTCCTAGATCTTTCAGACCGGTGGTTAGCTCCGCGCATCTCTCGGCTAACCGTTGCTTGCTCTCTCGTAAGAACTCGTCCACGAAATTGTCGTCGGACAACATTTTCGACATCATGTGCTGCGTCTGGGAAGAGACCAGACCGAAACTCGACATTTTCCTGGCGGCGTTAACCACTTGGTCGTTGTACGAGTAGATTATACCGACCCTGAAACCGGGTAAACCCATATCTTTGGAGAGACTGTAAACGATGTGGATCAGATCGCGGTTACAATCCGAGACCTCGTCGATGATCTCCGCCACGCTCGTGAACTCGGGTTGTTGGAAAGTGGTGGCGGCGTAGATCTCGTCGGCGATGAGGTGAATGTTCTTCCCGTTGGTGAAGTTAACCAGAGATTTCAGACAATCCCGGTCTAGTGTCGTACCGAGTGGGTTCGACGGATTGGTTATGAGCAATCCCTTAACCGGAACGTTCGATTCCCGAGCCTCCCGGTACGCTGCTTCCAAGGCCTCGACCGTGATCTTGAAGCCATTTGAACTGTGACAGACAACCGGCCAAAGCTTCAATCCGGTTCTCCATCTTAGATCTCTGTCAAACCTGCAAAAAAAATTCCCAAATTTAATTCGACCACTCAAAAACCAGATATTGTAAATGGGTTTTAAGTTTAATAAATTTATAGAAAAAAAAAATCGGAATTGTTTTAATTACCCAGGATAATAAGGAGTAGGGACCAAGAAAGCGTCGCCGGGATCGGCAATGCAGAAGGCTAATGTCTCTTGAGCTCCGGTTGCTCCGCCGCTCATAACGATTCTATCTGGATCGAATTTAGCTTTATTTCCTCTAGTTTTCGTCATGAATTTCGTAATAGCCTGTTCACAGTTGAAAAAAAGAGAGATTAATTTAGCATCAGATTTGATCTCAGATCCAAAAAGAAATTGAGGAAGAATCACAAGACAGAGATTCTTCGTCGTACATGTCTGAATTCCGGCAAGCCGTGGTAATCTTGGAAGATAGCTATGTCGTTGAAGCGGTTCACTCCTTCGGGCGCGCAAATCGAAGCTTCCGGATGTTCCATGAGCCATTTACGGATCAAATCCGAAGAGAGCTGGAGAGAAGAACACGAACAGAGAAATTTTTAACTTTCGTACTTCTAAACCAATCGGAGATTGACACGTCAGCAAATTCGGGTGGGTAAAATCTACCTGATTCTCGGCGAGGCCCATTTGGATAACTCCGTCGGGTCGGTGAACCGGGTCGAACGGGTACTCCTCGTACGCCTTCCAGCCGTCGAAGTAGGCCGAGTTCTCGCCGTGGCCTTCGCCGGCGGCGATCTTAGACAACGTCTGGTTCTGCTTCTCCGCCGCAACTACCGCCATTTGATTTTCTTTCTTGTGGGTCGTTACTGTGTATCTTTTCCGACAAGGAGACAAGTAAGATCGAAACTAAACAAGCTTTGATGATTCTCTATCGGATCGGATTTACAAAGATATGGTTATGGTTTCCAGAGGAGAAAAGTGTTCCTCTATATATACACGTTAATACACACGGACTCTGCTGGGTCATCGAAGTTTCCATGAAGTTTACCACGAGAGGAGAAATACGAATTTTCAAGAAGGTCCTCGTATTATACGCAAAATTCGTTTCATTCCGTATAAGTAATTTTTTGTCAAATAGATCCCAAGTATGTTTTATTCGGTTTTTCTTATGGAATTTCTCGAGCTATAAATAAATTACATGATATGCATACATCATGTAACTGATTTTTAGATTAGAATAAAATCAGATAAAGGCATATGAACCTCTATTATTGAAGTTTAATATAATTGGTTTGGATATTTAAGAGAGAGCTTTCAGAAAGCAATAATTAAGCATTCCCACTAGTGGTTGAGGTTTCATCTGCTTCATAATAAATTCAACATTTTTTTTTTCAGAGATGATGAATGAAAATAATGGAAAAAGACAAGAAAAAATTTGATTTAAAAAAAAATGTGTATATGTAGTGGTTAACAACGACTCTTATATTCTGCAAGTAATTTTCCAAAAGTAACGATAATTCAATTTTACATTTTATTTTCTTGTAAGACTGGTTACAACAAATTTAGTTTTTATTATTAAGGGATCGATTGTTTTTTTTTTTTTTGAATAATCGGTTATTATAGCTGGAGATCCAAACTAATCTCGAAGACTAAAACAAATCATGTGATTGGAATTATATTCTTTTCTCTAATATGAAACTCGAAATCAAGATGAAATATACGTTTTGCGTATGAAGTTAGATAAGAGATCGGGTGGTACTGCCTACATAATAATTTAATTGGACATAAGAAAGTATGACTGAGCGTTTCAGTTTGGTTCTTCGGAACCGGACCGAACCGAACCGTTAAAACGGTATTTTTCCCGACCCGAAACCGCTGTTATTTTCCGAACGGTACCATTTTTAGAGAACCAAATTTTTCCGGAATTGAACCGAACAGAACTTTAAAAATCCCGAAAAACCGAATATTTTTAAAAGAAATCTAACATTTTTTTAATAAAACCCGGAACCAAACCGAACCGAACCGAATAGAATAAAAAACCTGATTGGTACCTATTTTTGTAAAACCGAAAGAACCGAACCGATCCATTCCGTCCCGAACCCGAACCGTTTTCCGAAAAACGTGATTTGTGTTCATTTAAATATATTCCAATTTATATGAAATTTCTTCAAGATTTAATGGGATTATCACGGATTAACAATATTGTGTTTAATCTCGAGAAATTTCGTCAAAATAAATGTTGTTTTGACTACAATTTTAGTTTTTGGCAGCCATAATGACCAGTGACTTTCCACAAAAGGAGTTTCAGTCAAAATCTCAAATCAAGGCAAATTCTATTTGTGTTCCTGGTCAATGGGTTGACCACAGTGACTTTTTGGTCGGCTGATTTTTTTTTTTTCTATCGCCTTTGTTATTTCTTTCATATTTGTTTTTCCAAATGATCGCGTTTTAATTATTTTAAGTGGTAGAAATGTAGCATTTTTAGAGAGTGATTAGGGAGAAATGAAGATTAGAAAACAACATTAAAAAAATATTAAAATTGGGAGAAATGAAGATTAGTTATCCATTTAGGAATTCAACCCTTAGAAATGTATAGAGGAGACATCTCCGATGACTTGACCAACTGTCGAATTACAGACAAAAGTAAATTTTTTTGTCTTTAAGAAAAAAAAAAAAGTTCTGCATGAGATATTTCCACTCCACGTGGGAGTTTGAATGCTCCTCCGTCCAACGTGAAAACTCGTGCGATGTTGAAGAAAGAAAATAACTCGTGCTAAAACAAATTAGGTTGAAAAAGAAAACTCAAAGATCATCTCTAGTACCAAATACAAACATCAAACGAAAATGTTATATAAATAACCTATTTTTTCTAAAATATATCAAATAAATATTATCAAAAAACGAAATACCCATTTGAACAATAATATTTATTTATGTAACCCAGAAAAAAAAAAGAAGCAAAACGTATTTGACAAAAATGTCTCTCAATCATATTTTACATATGTGAGACCCAAAAAAAATGAAACTAAAGAAACCCACATTCTACACATGCGGCCGACCAATAACTTAGCATTCAATGTACCAATTTTTCCTTAGGAAAATGATGGATTATGATAATTATGAAAATTACGCGGAACACCGCACTGCTGGAAGAAATATGAACCCCTTTTTTTTTATATCATCACTAATTATAATATATTCTAGCCAATTAATCCAAGATTTCCATGAAAATGTGCACAGAATAAAAATAATCAATAAATTATTATATATGTTGGAAATTCTCAGATAAATACATTTTTTTTTCTTATAATTTAGGCTACGTATGTTTGTAAGATTTCTCATAATTTCTATAGTTGTGGGTGAAAGTTCGACCATTGGATTAATACAGAGTCGTCTCATAGATTTGAGAGACCCTGTTCAATTATATATTTATTATTTTTTATAATTTTTTTTAATTTAATTAATATTTTTTAAAAATAAATATATTATATAATATATACAATTTTATATTATATAAAAATTAAAAAAAATTAGAAAAATATATATTATTTATTACAATAAAATTTAAAATAATTATTACTTTTTATTTTTAAAGAGTAATACAAATTAAAATCAATTTTCTTGTTATGAAACTTTTGATTTTTATACTAATTTTGTTTATTTTTTAAAATATATAGTGATTAAAAATTATAAACTAAAATTTATAATTTCTATAATATGAAAGATCATTACAATTTAACAAAATTTAATCTTTTAAAATTTTAAATTTATAATAGTTTCTCCTATTTTATTAAAAATTTTAATAAACTTTAAAAATATATTTTTTTTAAAAAAGTGAGGTCCCATAGAATTGGGACCCTGTGCAGAAGCTCCAATTACACCCCCTTATAGACGTCACCTCGGACATGGATTCTTTATCCCCAACTGAAAACATATATATAGTAGATGATGATATATGTGTCAAATTAAGCGAGAAAATGTTTATTAATAATAATAATAATAATCTTTAGTCATTAATGCCATAACATATTGAAACATAGATATAGATCTTTATTCATTGCCATAACATATTGAAACATAGATATGTATAGTACGTAACATATTCAAAGCGAACATATTTTTTTATAAATAAAAATACTATATTTGTTTGGTTCTTAGCAGTAGCAGTGGCATTGCTTGCCATGAGAAACGTGTTTGCAAAAACCGCCCTTCTGGTTCGAACATCCTTTGAGACACCACTGGTTGCATCTTTCTTCATCGTGATTTGTCTGACATTTCCCAAACTTCGGATGAGCGTTGCAGCATAGTGAATCATCACCCATCGCCACTCCAGCATCTGAAATATCACAAAACATAACACGAATAACGTAATTCAGATCATAAACGCCATGTCAAAGTGTGAATAACCGAGATTTTATCGTATCATCGTCATTGTTTTTCGTGTTTTGATTATGGAGAGAGACAAACCGGTGCAGAAGAGAATGGCAACGAGCAAAGCAAAGGAGATGACTTTCATGTTGGCCATGTTTTGTATTCTTTCTTTGTCTGGGGATTTCTGTTGTGTTTTTCAATTGAGGTATGTGAATGTTGAACGTACTTCCTCTTATTTATACCCGTGTCAATATTGCACTGTCAAAGTTACAATAATCACTCATTCCATATTTAAAATAGAAACCGACAGCTAAAACTGGTAATAGCATCATACCATAACGGAGGAGTGTTAATGGGGTTTGAGGTTAGTTATACCCTATTTTTATAATTATATTTTTCTATGAGTTTAGAGATATTTTTTTTTTAAAAAAGTGAAGCCCCATAGAATTGGAGACCCTGTGCAGAAGCTCCAATTGCACCCCTTATAGATGGATTAATATATGGATATAAAAAAATATATATGGACCAAAAGATATTATGATGTCTGATACCCAATGGGTTCCTCATGGAATAATAGCGAATAGCCCATACTCGTAATGGACATATCAGTCCTTTTTCAAAGAAGTGTAATGTTGGGCCTATTTTTTCCCCGCTTTAAACGGTTGTGTTTATAACCCAAAGTAGCTATAATAACGTCGGTCCATTTCAAATCTTCTAACCCAAATCATAACAGAGTCGACCTCAAAATTCTAGTTAAAAAAAAAATTTCACCTCATCTCATTATGCGAATAAAAAATTTGAGGGATAATTAATCGGGGATTTTGAACCCGACGTGAATCGAACACGCAACCTTCTGATCTGGAGTCAGACGCGCTACCATTGCGCCACGGATCCCTTGTTATCACTGATTTTACTATTTAATAACAATCTTTTTTGACATAGCGAAAAAGCCCATAACTATATAATTAATGGACAGCCTATTTCGAATAAAGTGTACATGATAAATGTGGGTCCATTTCAATCTCCAAACCCAAATCATAACGGAACTATCTTGATTCATGTTTTTAATAAAATTATTCAATCACATAAAAGATATATCTTTCCATTTAAACAGTTTCTAATGTCAATCTCAACAGTCTTTACGTGGAAGTTTGGTTGACAAGTTCATATGCTTATAGATTACAGATGAATTGTGGAAACCAAAATTACTTGTCAATTTAATTCCAATACAAGACAAATGTAAACAAAAAATAATGTCGATAATAAGATAAAATCGATTTATTATGTGCGTAATGCAGATATCGTACAAAAGCATATCACATCAAAATCAACGGACCCACTGTTTCATTAATCTTTTATAATAAGGAATAAATAACATCATAATTTCTTGGCCGGTCGAAAATCTTTTATGTAAAAGATGTCATCTTATCTCATTACGTGATCAAAACGATAATCACGCAAGGCCACGTCTGTGTACTTGTACGGTTTGTACCTTTGTGTACGGAAGGGATACACTTACTTGATTACTCCAATTATTCATCGTCTTCTTTTTTTTTTTCTTATGTTTTTTAAACTAATGGTATGCCCGTAAGAAAAAAACCAAAACTAATTTTGAAGGCATGTAACCAAAAAAAAAAAAAAAAAAAAACTGATGTCGGCTATTAAAAATGGAAGTTTGAATAGTCAGACTTGCGATTACATACATGCAACATGTATATGCACCATACATTCATCTACATTACATGCAAGTGGAACCCTAGGGGTGACGTCACCAATAATAGTAATAATAATAATTCGTTTTTTTGCATGTATATATATGTGTGTGTTTAATTATAATTTACATACGCATATTATATATATATATATATATATATATATATATTGGGGGGTGTAATGTATGCTTATTTTACACGTCAAAGGAAGAATTCAAAGAAATCGGTGGTGGTGTTCTTATTTCCTTGTGGGCTCATCATGCAGTGACGGTTTCACATACTGCGTCGACATACAGAAAAAAAAAACTAATATTTTATCTATTAATTCTGTTAGCAAATTAGATTTAAAATATTGTGGTATCATTTATGTAATCGATGAGGTCAGCATTGCATAACTGACATATATATATATATATATATATATATATATAATCAAATCGTTCCGTCTGATATATATATCATGAATATGGGTGATATCAACTTATCAAGTTGGATTTATGAATTACAAATTAGTTGTTTGTAGATATATAAATATATGTTTATTAACTCAGCAGATCAATCATGCACAAATAATTAATGATCATGTCTACATTAATAATCTGGCGGTTTATTAATATCCAAATAATTTTATAGTTTATTTTAATGTGTTCTTGGAATAATTGACTCGTGCAAATAATTTATCGCTGCGTAATTACTTTTGGAACTTATCCATTAAAAAAAAAAGTTACAACTCGATATGTTCGTTGTAGAAATTTGTTTCATATAACCGTAATTTAATATAATTCAATCGACCGATACTGTAGCTTATCTTCCTAAAATAATGCGATTTCTTTTCTTTTTATTAAAACTCCTATCATCTAAACAAAGATACCTACATCTCTGGAAAGACTAGCATCTTCTATAGGAGTTTGTGTATTTGTCGCATATTTATTTAATGCATAATCTTAGTTATATATATATATATATATTGATCATCCAATCTAGTTAGCTTAGTAATATTGGATTAATGTTTCCAATGTTCCAAATACCGGTAACGTTAATTAATTATTTCAATCAATTCATGTAAAATTAATGAAAATAAATATTTGTTTTACTGTATTTCATAATAAAATTTTTAAACCCCATTATATTGTATTGTATATATAACACATAAACGCGTGTGTCAAACGTATATACACACATACGTACATACAGCCTCTAAGTGGTGCAAGAGGGCTCAAAATCTTCTCGCAAGTTGCAAGAGCAAGTGGACTTGCCTATGATTCTTTTTCTCAAACCAAATATTTTTATTTGAATGTTGACTTTGAAAATTTGCTCGCTATTGTAATTTTTTGTTTTCTGGTGCAATTGCCCATGCATCTTCGTCAGCCAATAAACCGGATTAGAGGCAGGAAAAACGGATCTCATAAATTAGATATAATGTTCGTGTGTGTGTGTATATATATATATATATGCAGGACTATGTGTATAAGCATGAATATTTAAATTTCTCCCAGCAACGTGACTAATTAATTGAGAAAAAATTATAAATTTTCATCTATATGGAAAGCCAAAATAAAAAGTAACAAAACTAGAAATAAAATAAATAGAAAACATGGGAAAGACAAAACAGATGGAACAGCCAAAATCAGGACAAAGATATTATCGGGAATCTTTTCGAGTATCGTTGGAAGATTTGGTTCTATGGGCTTAAAGTTAAACCCTATTCTATTGTAGGGGTGTGGACAATATTGGACCAAACTATATTCTTAAGATGTACTTAATTTCTTTTTTCCTTACCTATTTTTGCCTCCGAAATTCCTTTTCATCAATATATACGTGTATATAATGTGAAAAAGTGTATTCATTAATTTTAAATACATATTATAAAAGCTTTTTAAATTAAATATATACATTATAACGCATATATATACAAATATCATGTCGACATTTTAAATTTTGAAAATTGGGTTAAATCCCAATTTATTCAATTTTTATTTAATTGTTAATTTTAACACCCATAAACCCTATAATATAGAATCCAAATCTTATATATTTTATGAATATCGATAGTATTTAAATTACTTAATGCTTATCTATTTTTTGAGACTATTAAATCTCATTTTTTAAGATTAAGTTTGAATCATAACATTTTGCTACCAGCAGGGGATGGAAACCACATACATGCGCATATATATATGCATTACATAAAAACGTGTATGCGCCTTGAAAGCTCTTTTCTTGGTCCTTGACAGTTCATAAATGGAAAAAGGCTCTTTGGGCGTGGTCATTAATTTTTTTTTTTTGGTGAATGGACTGATAAAGGCCATATGGAAAATTTCAAAAGTCCAATAATTATGAAATGAATATGTTTATAAGAATGTCTACGACATTATTTTATTAAAATGTTTTTATTTGAGTAATTAATACGAAAGATTTGGACTTTTCAATTTTTTTAAACACATGTATGATATTTCTATAGGTAATTTATGGAAACTAGTGTCATGCATACACAAGTGTGTGTGCATATATATTGCGTGCATTGAACTCATCTAAATCAAATTCAGTTAATTTAATAAAACTAAATTTTCTGCCAAGAATTAATCAAATATTATATTCTTTTAAAAATGAAGGGACCTACGAATTCTGAAATTTATTTCGATTTTATAATTCTGATATTTTCTCCGAGAAAGACAATTGAACAAGATAAAAAAGGTTTCCATGTTTAGGAACGTGTTGACTTCTTCAAAGGTCAACTCAAGATATTACAACAAAATAAACTTGTTTATATGGGAAATCAATCGACCTTACAAAGCGAACCAGAAAAACGTCACATCCCTACAAAAATAAGTGTAAAGAATTCATAAATCTCGGCTCTTTATATAAGCAAATGCTTCCCAATACGCAATTTCTCTTCATAAGCTCGAAAGAGAGAAGAAAATAAAGTAAAAAAAAAAAAAGAGAGAGAGAGAGCTCGAGTCGACATGGGTGAAGTGGCTTACATGGACGAAGGTGACTTACAAGCCATAGTGAGAGGTTACTCCGGCGCCGGAATAACTTCCTCCGGGGAAAACTCCGGCGAGTTTTTGCCGTATAGCCTTCCTCACGAGACTGCTCTCTTCTATGAAACCGAGTCGACGGGTTTAGATGAACTCGGCGAGCTCTACAAACCCTTTTACCCTTTCTCGACTCAAACGATCCTCACCAACTCGGTCTCGGTCCCAGAAGATTCGAGAAGTTTTAGAGACGGGACGAAACAGCTATCCCATGATTGCCTTTTCTCGGACGGATCTAAAGCAGATCGAAACCAAGAATCGAAGGCGAAAAAGAGGTTAGGGTTCTTGATTTACTTCCCGAGCTGTCTGTATTATCATCTGATTTGTTTTCTCAAAGTGTTGCCAAACGGTCTTTCATTTTCTTGACCGAGATTAATTGTTTATCATTATTTCTCATTTGAATTAACTGTTTTTCTATTGAACACAGCTGTATCTCTAAATCATTAGGATTTTTCACAAGCAGTTTGAATAATTCAAAACCTTTGCTAATAATCAATAATGATTATTGTGTAAACCTTTATGTAAATAAAAAATACGATTTTTTTTTTGTTATAACAGCAAGAAGAATCAGCAGAAGAGAATTGTGCAACAAGTGAAGGAAGAAAATCTATTGTCGGACGCATGGGCGTGGCGCAAGTACGGCCAAAAACCCATCAAAGGATCTCCTTACCCAAGGTCTTATAACCAATCCCGGTTTAGTTTCGGTTATCTTTCTTGGTCTCCAGCTCTGTATAACCAGCTTTGTTTGTCTATAGTTCATTATATAAGAAGAAGAAGAAAAATCATTCGAGAACTCAAACGGTTCGTCTCCTTTCTGGTCGCAGGAGTTACTACAGATGCAGCAGTTCAAAGGGATGTTTGGCAAGAAAACAAGTTGAAAGAAACCCTCAAAATCCGGAGATTTTCATTGTCACTTATACCAACGAGCACAACCATGGATTACCCACCCGGAGAAATTCCTTAGCCGGTTCGACCCGGACCAAATCTTCCCAAACCAAACCGGCCTCCTTAACCGGAAAGTCAGGAAACCAAAAGGTTAATTCTCCCCCAAGTCAACCCATGGCCACGTCCACTTCCGATCCAGCCGTTAACGGAGAAGTTGACGGCATTGCTTATGATTTGTCGCCTGATATGACGTCATCAACCGGAGTTTTCGGGTGTTTGGATGGAGACATCGATGAACTACTGAAGAACGAAGAGTTCGACTTCGATGGGTGCTTTTTAGATTATTAGCCATTAGGGTTTGTGGTGTGTATGTATATATATATATACTTGTGTCATCGTTTTAGCAACTGAGAAATGCATATTAATTTATGCTTGGAGAGATTGGACCGTCCTCGTTTTCTTCTTACTTTCATGCTTAAGACGAAATCAATATTATACATATGGAATAAAATATTAGTACTAAACTGGAATTATTCAATGTCCTCAAGGTTTCATAATCATATATATTACATAGAAAACGAAATGAATTACAACTTGTATAGTATATAACACCACAACTTGATTGGCAATCAAGCCAAGATTATTCAAATCTTATTATATATATAGCCATTCATTTCCGTACTTGATTTAGTTTATCTAATTGTTTTTTTTTCTGTTACTTAACACCGGTCCGGAAACGTTATCAGTTCACCGACCGATCAGAACAGCGACGGAATTCACGAAACCGGCATTGATATAAGTAGTGGGCTCCGCATGGGAATAATCCGATCTTTGGTCACTAAACCGGTCGTTTGAATCCGGTCCTCCTACGATTGCACCGATATGCTCATTCGGGTTCGGTTCGTTCGAATTGTAGTACGAAAATCCGTCGTTGCAACCGATTTTTGATTGATGAGTTTGGACTGATGGCATCGAAGATCCTCTATGATGAAGCTGTGTTGGGGACTTTGTGCCGAATCCGACCATATATGACATTTTCATAGGATTGTTTCCCAGGATGTAATCCACCTGCAATAACCAACCGGTTAATCAATACCAGAGTCTGTCATAGTAAACCGGATGTATTGTTTGGTTCCATATTTGTTTGATATGGCAATTACATATATACCAAACCCGAAACATTTACCATCCGGTATTTTACCTGTGATTTTGCGAAATTCATGATTTGGGATGTGGAGAACCGGGTGGATCCACATTGGATTGAGTCGACCCGAGCTTTGGTTAGAGTTCTTGAGAAATAAAATAGCACGGTTGAAGCCGTTGTAACATACTGCAAGTTGCTACTGTCTCTAGTAAATAGAAGACCACCTGTAAATCCGAAACGTAAACCACAAAATTTATTCCAATAAAAACCAAATGCTAAACCGGTTACCAGTCCCATGCAAACCGATTTGATTAGATTGTCCAATCGGTTTACCAATACCTAAACCGGTTTATTCGTAACCGGATATATATAACACCAAAGTTATATATGTTTTTACCAGGAGTCGGTCTAATCTGTTGAGAGCTACTCCCTGGCATCAATGCACAAACAAATGACTCCAAATCGTTCTTAAATTTACCCAAATCCTTCTTCCCGTTGTAAAATTCCTGAAGAAAATTAACCAAAAAAAAAAATCAATTCTCAGTCCAATTTAATACATCTCAACGTATAATTTTCGGTTATGGCTTCTGGTATGAAACCGGTTAGTCACTAACCGAAGTGAGTAAAGCTTGAGCGCCGGCGAATTTGCTGTCCCAACTGAACTCATTAACGGCCTGACTCCAACCTTGGTTGCTTGTCACATAACTCATGTACTTGTTGTCTCCTGTTGCTTTGTATAACCAAGCCGCCGACCAAAGCAACTCATCCTTCACAAAATCAATATAACAAATACATTGTCATGCATGGGCAGAAAAATAATGTGTAATCAAACAATATATATAATATAAGAAAGGAAACAAAATATTAATAAATTATATAAAAATTTTCATCGACTAATATTACTTGATAGCCCGAGTATGAGCAGTAGAAAGGGCAAGAGGCTTGGTACGAGCCTCTGTACTTGTCAGCCAATTCAAATAGCTGCACAATATTTAAATTGAGAAATAAAATTTTTAAAACTTCAAAAATTAAGCACACTTGAAAATGTTATAAATTATATGTACAATACTCACAGAAATTGAATGGTTTAGTAGATTTGAAGAATATTTCGGATCCACCGGCTTGAAAACGATAGAGGCGGCGGCTAGAGCGGCTGCAGCCTCGGCTGCTGGAGATCTTGAAGAGAGCTCTTGATGTGTCCATATCCTCTGGTCTCTCCCAACAATTATGATCTGAATTCCCATCTCCCACCTTTTATTATATATCCGTTATTAACACACACGTACCGGAATTTCAATTGGTATGGATGGCCAAATTACCGGTTCGGTTTGGATACCGGTCTGGTAGGATACAGT